AGGAAGCAAACAAACATTTCTTGGTTTCTGAATGATCAAGAAGGGGTGGGATTAAATGTATTTATGCTTCTTCCTACCCTTTTTGAAGATGTTAAGTATATTTGTTTTGTTTTTTTCTTTGTTTGAACCAATCAGTGTATCACTTGTGGATGCACCAAGGTGTCCCAAGCCTGGGTAAATGGTGAAGGCTGTGTCTGGAAGGGCATCCAGGGTAAAACACTTTTACCAGAACAAACATGCGAGTTTGTTCAAGCGACACCATACTGGATCAGTCAAGGCCTGGGTTAACATTGGCCACCACTAGTACTGTTAATAAGCAGACCACAAACTTGAAGACCACGAAGATGGAAACATTTCAGGAGACAGAGGGAGAAGAGGAAATTCAAGAGTGTAGGACTGAGAATAGTAACTCTAAACAAAGGTACAAGGACAGGCAAAAGAAAGACCTGGCTTGCATGATGCAGAGAAGGAAGGTAGATGCATTATGTGTTCAAGAGACCAAGTGGAAGAAAAGCAAGGCCTGCAGCACTGACACAAGGTTTCTGGTAATTTACCATGGATTGGATAGAAAGATAAATGGAGAAGGGTGGTCCTGAAGGAGGAGTTTTCAAGGAATGTAGTAAAAGAAAGGATTGTCAGATAGAGTGATGTGTCTGAAGATAGAATTAAAAGGTCTGATGTTGAATTTTGTCAGTAGTTATGCTCCACGGCTTGGATGTGTTGTAGAAGAGAAAGATAAATTCTAGAAGGATGTGGATGAAGTGATAGAGAGTATTTCCAGGGAGGAGAGAGTGGTGATCTAAGCAGACCTGAATGGACATGTTGGTGAAGGAAACAGAAAATATGAGAAAGTGGTGGGCATATGGTGTCATAGAAAAGAACTAGGAAGGACAGATGGTGATGAAATTTGCCAATAAAATGGAAATGGCTGTAGTCAACACTAATTTCCAAAAGAGGGAGGGACATAGAGTGGGTGACCTATAATAGTGGAGGTAGAAGTACGCAGGTAGACTGTTGTATGTGTAGAGGAAACCTGAGGAAGACTGGAGACTGTAAGGCATGACCAGAAAGCATTGGATGGTTGTGTGCAGAATGACTTGTTGTGAAGACGCGAAAAATAGTAAAATAATAAAAGAAGACCAAATGGTGGAAGCTGAGGAAAGAAGAATGTTGTGAAAAATTCAGAGAGGAGCCGTTAAAGGCTCTGGGTGGTAAGAAAGAGCTTACAGATGACAGGGCTACTACAGCAGGTTCAGGTTAGGTTCATTTGTCATATGCAAAATCAACACAAGGTCAGCAATGCAATGCAATGCTTAGGACGAGAAGAACCATCTAGACTTGCCAAAAAAACAAACAAACAAACAAACAAAAAATAACAATAAGAAGTACCAAAGCATGCAGCAAAGATACTAAAAAACATACTAAAAATACTACTAAAATAATAAAAAACAAGGTGCCAAAGTTGAAAAAGAAACCTCCTGTGAGATGTAGTTAGCAGTGAGGTTCTTTCAACATCATAGTTCTGTTCTGTTAGTGGCGTGGTCCTGTTAGCATCTTAGCAGGTGTTGTTAGCAGGTCTGGTCAGCAGATTGATGGTAACAACGACCGCAGCAGCTTCCCTCACAAACTGCAGTACAGAACCAGGTCCGGCAGACAAAGAACATCCAAGGTTTCCCTGCGGTACCGAACGGGTCCGTAGACTTCAGTCCGTGCACACAGATGGAGCAACAGTAATAAGAGACAGGTAGGAAGGTACTTGGTGTGTCATCTGGACACAGAATGGATGAGGCCAACCGGGGGAATCAGATTCAGAAAAGCCACTGTTGATTTTCTTCAGGCAGACTGTTTTTTTCTTGTCAGCCTTGAGTCCTGCTGGAACTTTCAAGATCCAAAATGGCCAGATTAGTGGGCATTCCACTGGTCCATGCTTACGAGCCCCTCCAAGGTCGTTTCCAACATGCTGGCAAGTCCCAGAAGCTGCAGGTGGCCTGCAATTCTCACAAATCGCTTCCATCTTATGGTTTAGCTCATAAATCAGCTGATTTTGAGTCCTCGAAGCACAAACCAAACCTTCACAAGGCAGGCAGCCTGATGAGGGCCAAATTAGCTGCAGCTGTCTTCTTTGTATGTTGCTAGACCAGGAACCAGCCGATACCAAAAAGCAGGAAACCTGTTATTATAAATCCAATTATATATGTCTTCGGCATCCTTCTGAGACAAAACGGAAAGACACAGTAGCTCCCATATCCATGATTTATCCTGTATCGTGAGTCTCAGCAGGACATGAGGGCTCTCCAGGACCTGTCACTTTGTTGAAAATATTTTGTTGATTATGTTGAAAATCCAGCTGATCAGATTCGTGACGGTAGTTTTCCTTTCAGAAGATGTGTAAAATAGGAGCTCCTATACACAGACAGAGAGCAAAAAAGCGGGAAGAGAACAGGAGAGGGAAGAAAATGTGTTCACCTTGCACGAGAGCGAGAAAAAAATATATTTAAAAAAAATGTGTCTAAATTATTTTTAATGTACTTAAACTTTAATACAACACCAATTGTGTAGTTTGTATGCAGTTGAAAACATAAATACATTTTACATCCTGGAATAAACATGGTTTTGGTTGAGAATGTGTCTTTCTGTTCGATTGCAACTCTGTCAGTTGATAAAGGTGTGGAAGTTAAAAATGCCTAAATATTGCCAGTTAATCTATAGTCACTGGATTGTGACTATTGGCAATGACCTTCACAAGGGAGCCTCCAAAATGTTTGCGGGGATTCTTGTTTTCCTGGTGTGACAGTTGCATCAGGCCAACGGTCACTCTTTCAGGGATGAAGATGTTCACATCTATGATAGAGAGGAACGTTGGTTTGAGAGAGGAGTAAAGGAGGCCATGTTTGTGAAGAGACACCATCTATCATTGAACAAGGGTGGAGGCCTCCATGTTCATCTGTCCCCCTCTTACAATGCTGTTATGGCTAGTATCACTCAGCCCTCTGTGAAGAGCAAGCGGCCATCAGGGCACTAACGATAGGTCATTAGACTGATGGTCCTGCTTTTGCATGTTAACAACTAGTTTTGGCTGTCACAGAAAACTGCTTGATCCACTATGAGAAGGTGCTGCTTATGAGACTGAGTTTGCTTGCAGGTCCTCAGACTGAAGAAGTCTTTTGGATTAAAAAAACCTAAAAACTAAATGTTTCAACAATGAAAAACCCGTTCAGAAGACTGACTCAAGATTTTTAGATTCCAGTGCGATTTTATCCTTGTGTGTGCCTGTGTAGGTCGTCATGTGCCCAGAGGTCTAAATGTGTGTGATGTACCTTCTCTTAGGTTATGGCCATGCAGCGCCCAGCACGGACTCAGGGAAAGTATTCTGCATGTTCTACGCCCTCCTTGGGATACCACTGACCCTCGTCATGTTCCAGAGCCTGGGCGAGCGCATCAACACATTTGTCCGGTACCTGCTGCACCAAGCCAAGAAGTGCCTGGGAATGCGTCAGACTGAGGTCTCTATGGCGAACATGGTGACAGTGGGCTTCTTCTCCTGCTTGAGCACCTTGTGTGTGGGGGCTGTGCTGTTCTCCCACTGCGAGGGATGGAGTTTCCTCCACGCCTTCTACTACTGCTTCATTACGCTCACCACCATCGGCTTTGGAGATTATGTGGCTCTGCAAAAGGACGACTCACTACAGAACGACCCGCGGTATGTGGCTCTCTGCTTTGTTTACATCCTAATGGGACTGACAGTGATCGGAGCGTTCCTAAACCTGGTCGTGCTTCGTTTCCTGACTATGAACACTGAGGACGAGCGACGCGACGCCAAGCAGAAGGCCTTGTTGTCTGTCAGCAAGTCCAGAGCAGAAGTGTCTCGCCTATTACCACTCTCAACTTCCACCTCTGTCACGCCTGTAGCAGACACTGCCACAAAGGCTAAAGATTTAAAAGGCGCCTACACAGAGGTGCTGCATTTTCAGACTATATGCTCCTGCTTGTGGTACAGGAGCAAAGAGAAGCTGCAGGGTTCCACACCCACCATGATGCCTCAGGAGCTTCCATTTTCCAATGCCTACCTACAACAGAACAGTGACTGTCCTCACTACATGGAGCCTGGATCAACAGGCTGCGTGTGCAGTCCACGTCAATGCACGAGCATAAGCTCCATAACAACAGGCCTACACATTTTCTCTCCGTTCAGGGTGTTTAAGAGACGCAGCTCTGTCTAACCTTTCTCTACAACAGCTTTCACTTTTAAAACTGCCGAGAGGGAAACAGATACTCTGGAGTCCTCATAACAAAGACTTAACTGCAAAAGTATATGTTTGTGGTGCTATAATCCTGGTATTCCAACAGTATTGTGTGTAAAAAAGGACCAAAAAAAAAAAGAAATATTTCCAGCAGTGTAAACAGCAAAGTCTTTCTCAAATATGTAACGGAGACAGAGCAGCCTGTAGTGTTTACGCTGGATGGTTTCTGTGTGTTCAGAGGCGTCAGGTGAGCCTTTTGGAAGTTGTGAGTCACATGAACACACCACGGTGCGTATGGTGCATACGGTGCATACGGTGCATACGGTGCATATGGTGCATACGGTTTATACAATATGAAGGGATAAGCAAAGCAGGTGCTGAGGTGGTGGACTCTGCTGAGCAGTGATTCAGGAAAAGATGACAAAACTGAAATATCTCAGAAATATTTATTTAGTTTTTATTATTAACGTCAGGCTAATTTCCTTACATGTGTCCCTTTCACACAATATGTATTTTTTTAATTCCTCAAAGTGTAAGGACACAATAATGTTTTTGCCTGGGTATATGTGTGTGCACCTGTCTCTCTTAGGGGTGCACCAATAAATCGGCCCCGGTTTCCTTAATTTTGAGAAATCGGAAATTGGCGGATACTTGCATGAGAAACCAATTTTACCGATTTTTTTAGTTTTAACAACAATTGTCTGAAATTCATTTATATTTCAGAGCACTACCTCAAGGCCAGTTAAAACAAGTTTATATTGTTTCTAGGATATTGTTCAAGGGTATGTTTTTCAATAAAATAAAACTGAAAATTGAAGGTGCATTGTGACCTTACGACACCTGACAGTGTCGATTATAAATCAAAATCGGTATCGGCCAAAATTGGAATCGGAAGGTCAGACTTTTTAGAAATTGGTGATCGGCCAGAAAACTGCAATCGGTGCACCCCTAGTCTCTCTGTTAGCAAAGTTTCTCATGAACAACTGAAATTTATTGCTAAATGTATGTCTACAGATGGTTATGTTTTGAAATTAACCTGATTCAAGATGCCAGCCAACTGACCTTGAAAATACAAAACTTTCTTTGACTTAATCAATTTTATATCTATTTAATTAGGTGTGGCTGTAGCTGAGATTGATCCCCAAGAACTGAATGATCACAAAAGATTAGTTCTTTAAAACTGAAAAAAACTATTATTTATTGGTGTTAACTTAGTTTATTTTATTTATTTATTTGACTTTTCTTTAACCATGTTAGTCAGTTGGGAGAAAACTCAAATTTTTAATGATGACCTGCAGAAAAACCAGGAGGGGTAAGCTAGCAGAAGGACAACACAGACACAACCAAACATCAAATCTAACAGACCAAAGGTGTGGATAGACGTTAAAGCTCAAGGATGTTTAGCAGATTGAGTTAAAGATTTGTTTTGAAATATAAATCCTATTCTGGATTTAACTGTGGAGAGCAGAGTGTTGATATGAGTTTCAAACAGAAGTGAGTAGTCAAGCCAAATCCCAAAATATTGAATCAATGAACCATTCAAGGACAAGTTCAGTTAGATCACCTTGATGGATTTTTCTTTTGTTGAGACGTTTTATCTTTCATCCAAAGGACTTCCTCAGTCCGAGGAGTCACAACAAACTCAGTCCCATGTACTCATATAGTGGATCAACCAGTTTGATGGTGATAAGATGGTTTCTGAGGCCCACCCTCTCCCCCATCGACTCCTCTGAGGCAGCCATGACCAAAGTGGTTCAAAACATCAAAGTTCATGCTCAATAATCCAGGTAAAAAAATCCAACAAAGTTCAGTCAGGTCATCTGGATGGTTTCTTTGGCTGCGGATGGGCCACAAAGCCATCTCTGAGACAGCTATGAGTCGACAGAGGAGAGGGTGGGCCCCAGAAAAAAAACATTTTATCACCATCAAACTGGTTGGTCCACTATGTGAGTGTGCTGCCTGTGGGACTGAGTTTGTTGTGGTTCCTTGGACTGATGAAGTCCTTTGGATGAAAGACAAAACGTTTCAACACAAAAAGAAACCGTCCAGATGACCACATTATTGGATTATTTACCTGGATTATTGAGAATGAACTTTGACATCCAAGGACAGGATTTTCTGAAGGCAGAAACCAGACATCATGAAATTACATGAATGTCTTGAAAATCCAACAATATTTTTCTGCTTCGTCGTTAGCATGATGATTTTAGTTTAAATCTTTTGCATTAAAGGCTGATGGTGTTTGCATTCCTTCAAGAAAAGTTATGCTTTTAATTTAAACCTGTTCTAATTGTCAGATCATAAGTGATGGACTTACGACCTGTCCAGGGTGTACCCCGCCCCTCGCACAGTGATTGCTGGACATGGGCACCGGCGACCCCCGTGACCCAAAATGGAAGAAGTGGGTAAAGATAATGGATGGATGGATAAGTTAAGCTGACAAGCTGACCAACAACTCCCACAGGTTTGGCTGCTCCAGTTTTGTGACGTCCAGTGAATTTTGCACAAATAACTGGTGCTTCAATCTTTGTCTCAGGCAGCTCATTTGGTCTGTACAGATGTTTTCCAACAATAATAGATATTTTCTTCAGACTAACTGAGCCAACTCTTGATTTGAATCTGTTTTTTAAGAGTCAACATGTTGAAAATCAGCACCCAAAGCAGAACATGAGTCATAAAGAGACATTGATAAATGAGCAATAACTTTGTTCATTTCAATATTCTGAAATAAACCGAACATCAAATATCCCATCATGAGTCTGCAGCTGTGTTTTTGTCTTTTAACTTTGTAACATTTTTTCTTACAACTTTATAATAAGGCTCCCCTTATAGATGTCCAATAAATAGTACTAATTTCTCTATAAACTCTTTATAAATCATTAATAACTGCTTATTAAGCATTAATTAAGGGTCACAGAGACAAAACTGACCAGTTTCTTGAGCCAAATCTGTTCAAGTATATATTTCATCAAGAGTTGTTTTATTAAACATTTCAGACTAAGTTACATTGCAAGCACGATAAGCATTTGTAAACTTAATTTTTTAGGATATAATATTAGTTGTAGATACTTATAAGGCAGTGATAAAGTACAATATTATATGCTAAAGAAATAGGTTTACCGATGTCTATTGTGCTTACAAGGTAGTAACTTAGTCTGAAATTTTTAACATTACAACTCTAGATGAAATATATAAGTGAACAGATTTGGCTCACTATTTGGCAAGAAACTAGTCAGTTATTTATCTGATAGATTCCAATTTGTAAATGTAAATAATTAATCTTCATCATATACCAAAGTTAGTCATGGAGTTCCTCAAGGTTCAATGCTTGGACCAATACTCTTTACTTTATATACGCTTCCATTAGGTAATGTTATTAAACAGCATGGGATAAATTTTCATTGTTATGCTGATGACACACAATTATATTTGTCCATGAAACCCAATGAATCCAATCAGCTACTTAGACTACAAGCATGTCTTAAAGACATAAAAACCTGGATGACCCTTAATTTTCTGCTTTTGAACACAGACAAGACTGAGGTTTTGGTTTTTGGACCTGAGCACCGTAGGAATTAATTTTTCAGTCTTTCTCCCTCCTTAGATGGCATTAATCTGTCCTCCAGCTCTAATGTTAAAAATCTTGGTGTTATTTTTGATCAGGACATGTCTTTTATCCCCCACATTAAAAACGTTACCAGAACTGCCTTCTTCCACCTGCGTAATATCACTAAAATTAGAAACATCTTATCTAAAAATGATGCAGAAAAACTGGTCCATGTATTTGTCACGTCTAGACTGGATTATTGCAATGGTTTATTATCTGGGTGTCCAAATACTTCTTTAAAACGTCTTCGGTTGATCCAAAATGCTGCTGCCAGAGTCTTAACTGGAGTTAGTGGGAGAGATCATATTTCTCCAGTTTTAGTTTCTCTCCATTGGCTCCCTGTCAAGTCTAGAATAGAATTCAAAATCTTACTTCTAACCTACAAAGCTCTCAACAGCCTAGCTCCATCTTATATTACAGATCTTATTGTTCCATATTTTCCTAACAGAGCACTTTGCTCTGAGACTGCAGGTTATCTCACGGTTCCTAGAGTTTCCAAAAGCAGAATGGGAGGCAGATCTTTCAGTTATCAGGCTCCTCTCTTGTGGAACCAACTTCCAGTTTCTGTCTGTGAGGCTGACACATTGTCCAGTTTTAAGACTGTGCTTAAGACTTTTTGCTAAATCCTATAGTTATGGTTGGTTTGTTATGTTGCCATAAGCTTAGAATAATAGAGGACAAATTGACCTCATTTCCTTAAATAATTTGCTAAAATTGAATAGTTTTCATTTGATACTATTTCTATATTAACATGTGATTCTCAACCTGCCATTGTGTATCTGTTCCTACCAAACCCAGCTGGTTGAAGCAGATGGCCGCTTGTCCTGAGCCTGGTTCTGCTGAAGGTTTCTTCCTCATGAGGGAGGTTTTTTTTTCCCACTGTCGCCTTCAATGTTTGCTCAAGATGAGAGTTCTGTGTTGGAGTTAAACTCAAATCAGTCTGCTCCTCAGATAAAAAATGTTAAATTATTATTTTTAAATACGAATGTTTCTGTTCAGTTCCCTGAAATGACTTCTGTTGTGACTTGGAGCTAAATAAATAAACTGAATTGAACTATAAGGGGAGCCTTATTGTAAAGTGGTACCCATTCATTTTTTTTGCCTTGTTGGGTGAAAACCGTCAGTGGAACACCAGAGCAGGTGTAATAATCATTTACTTGGCGTCTTCAGAACCAGATTTCATGTATCAAAATAGACCGATTCTGGTTGAATGATGAACACATAAAAACATGACCAGTAAAGAAGAGGAAGTTTGTGTGTGTCCGTCTGTCAGTAAAATACCACATGAATCACTATTTGAATGACTCATAAAGTACTCACTGGGTGTACATCTATTGCTGATTAACTTTTGTGATCAACTCAATTTAAGGTG